ACCTGGGCATTGCAAGGTCGTATAGCAGAGATCCATCGCGATGTGCATACATGCACAGGCAGGATAATTCACACATAGGCGGTAAAAAATGCAGAGCAGTGCCGCGGGTTCCTACCCTACCTCCAGACCTACATAGCATTGTGCGGCCAGCTCACGTCATGTACGGTTGCTGTGCATGTGACGGGGAAGACGTGAACGGGTGTTTTCGGAGAGCGGCAGCAATGGGCGTCTTGGAGTGGCAGGACGTCGTTGGCCATCAAGATCAAGCCCGGAGCGGGCAGCCCCCGTGTAATGCGATGTAATCCCGGCCAGCGAGCGCAAAAATGGATTTTACAGCGCTTTTACTTCAGTAGTGTTCGGACCTCGCTGCCCACCCGAAGCGGTACGTCTTCGCCCGGGCCGCCTGGCTAACAGGGATGGCGCACCCTGTTGATTCGCTACATGATGTGATAATTGCTGTGGAATCGTACGATTCCCACCGACTTGCCTCCCACGCCCGGAAAGCGCAACACGACTGACTCCTAGGCACTGGGTCTCTTACCCCCCTTCTCTCCTTCATCCGCACACAAACATGGGCGACATCCTTTCATCTCCAATCGATCCCCCTTCACCGTCAGACGACTAACAGAAATCTTTCGACGCATCTTCGGCGCCAAAACCTTACTACCAGGAACGGAACGCGCGAACCCTCGTTGATTCCAGCTGTGGCCCCTCCACGGACAACCGCTTGCCTTCCGACTCGCCATTGCTCGAACCTTGTAGCCAACCTCCCTGTGATCGGGCTTCGCCTCAACAGCCGGGTCCTTCCGGATAGGTACTGTAGCCCTTGAGGCCCCTCCTCAATCAGTCGATACTGCTGCTCTTTCACCTTCCCACTCTTCAATATACACCACCTCTGCCTGGTTTCCCTCTGTGGCAGTTCTATAATCACAAGGGCCTCAGCCCACCAATCTTAACCCTTCGCATGGTACAAATCACCCTCAACTCGACACCGGAGCAGCCCTACATCAATCAAGTCATGACGGATGAGGATGCTTCAAACCTCTTCGGACTCGACGACTCGAGTCTCGGATTCATTGACGATGGCTCTGCCTCTGGTGATGTAAAGACTGACCCTTCCAACACATCCGACGGCGACGCCCAGTTTGATTCCTCGGGATGGGATTTCCCAGAAACCAACCCTTTTGCATCATTCGACGGCCTCACCACTTCTGTCGTCCAGCCCAGCTACCAGACAACCAGCTGGGACTCATCCTTCTTCGACGCAACACAACAGTCTCCCTCAGCCGGCTTCGACACCCTCTCATCACCTGATAACAACCCAACAATTCTATTTGGCGGGCCAATCGTAACGCCGCAGGATAAGATTCGTCCGCGAAACCCGGTCGTCCAGCAGCAACCTCAACCACAACAACAGGCAGCGCGTAATGGTGTTGCCCTCACACCCGCTCTCCAAGAGAAGCTACGAAACATTGCCATGCCTCCCCATCTACAATATCATTCCCCGAAGAGTGCTTCAAGCCCCGAATCGCCGACGGTCGACTCCAAGATGAGTGGCTCCCACTCTCCCGACCACAGCCAGATGGGCAAGCCCAATGCCAAGAAGCGCAAGGTCTCAGAAGAGCTTGACGACGATGACGACGACGACGAAGACGGCAAGCCCGTGAAGAAGACATCCCACAACATGATCGAGAAGCGATATCGAAACAACCTGAATGATAAGATTGCTGCACTGAGAGACGCAGTTCCCAGCTTGAGAATCATGTCGAAGAGTGCGAGAGGAGAAGACACAACCGAGGACCGACAGGAACTCCACGGCTTGACGCCCGCTCATAAGCTCAATAAGGCAACTGTGCGTATTGGTTTATTGATGGGATGATGATTATCTTTATTGACACTTGTACAGGTCCTTAGCAAGGCTACCGAATATATTCGACATCTTGAGAAGCGGTATACTCGCCTTCAAGAAGAGAACAATACAATGAAGGCTAGGATTGCAGCCTTCGAGAAGCTGTTCATGGCCGGCGCTATGAACGGTTCCATTACGCCAATGCAGCAGCAGCCACCGACTCCAGTCCAGTACGGTGCCAAGGACGCCCAGCAACAACAGCAGGACTTCCTCCACTCCCCAATTGCGGGCTCTCAGGATAGCTCCCACTCGCCGCCAACTGGCATGATCCAAGTTCCCGAGGATATGAAGCGTATTCTGGCTGCCCAGATGGCCGTTGGTCAACCATACCCTGTTCCTCAACAGCCATACCAGCAACGAGGAGCCCAGCAAACGCTGGTATCTCAACAACAGATTCAGCAACAACAGCAGCAGATGCCACAAGGCCGATGGGGCAACGCTGGCCCTTACTTCGGTAAGCTCATGGTTGGATCATTGGCTGGTCTGATGATCATGGAAGCAGTGCGCGAGAATGAAGTAAGCAACGAGAGAACCGAAGGTCGCGGCCTCTTTGCCCTTCCCGTACACCTGCTCGGCAAACTTGCCTCCAGCTTCGATATCAACTTCATGGGTTATCATGCCCATAGCACCCTCAAGGTGCTCTTGCTTCTGGGCACTGTTCTCTGGGTGTTCATCCCATCGCTCTTTGCGCCAACCCAACAAAAGCCAAAGAAGGCACAGATCTCCGCCCTTCATGCCGCCCCTCCCTTGGCCTCATCTATCAACGTCCGCCGACAAGCCTGGCTTACGGCTGCCCAGAATGTCTGGATTCCTCGCCACAACTTCTTCGTCGAGGCTGCTGCTCTGATGATCAAGGCCGTAAAACTCAGTCTCTGCAACATCGTTGGAGCTGATGGGTACCAGACAATCACTGGAACTTCCGATGATCAGGAGACCGCCCGTGTCCAGGCTTGGACTATTGCACTTGACTCCCAGCTTGCTGGTGGAGATGTAGATATCAACCGCAACCGCCTCATTTTGACTCTTCTTGCCTCTGGCACTCTTCCCAACTCGCCTGCCCGCTCCATGCTCAAGGCTCTCCATATCCGTCTCCTCCTCTGGGACCTTAGCGACCACAAGCTTAGACTTGGAATCACTAAGCCATTTGCCTCAAGACTCGCTGCCTGGAAGTGGAACGAAGCTCGTGTTGCCAACCGGCGTCTTATTGCTCTCGGTGCTTTAGCTGATGAAGCCGAGAGAGAAAGGATCCTGCCAGCACACCTTGCCATGCTGGTTGAGCAAGACTGTGACGTGGTTCTCAACAGCGACGTTATTCAGCGTGCCCACAACCTTGCGTTCAACAAGGATACCCAATACGGCGTTGAAAACCCCATTGATGGTATGGACAGCGTTGTCGGTGATAGTGCCGTCGGTACCCCCATGGATGCTATCGCTGCTTGGTGGTCAACTCAGACCCTGCACCAGGCCCTCACGGCAACCTTGGACAAGACTCCTGAAGCCCTTGTTGACATAGCCGACAAGATTGAGTCCTCCATCCTGACAGCCCCCGAAGGCTCTCTTGCCAAGACAAGGGCCATTGTTGCACGCGCCGCCTTCTGTGACCAAAACAGAGGCAAGAATATTGCCGCTGCCCTTAACATCGTTGGATCGCAAACCCTTGATACCCCCCTCAACGACTCCGCTTCTATGATTGATTCAAGCTCATTTGCCACAAACCCTGATCTTAGCCTCACTCTCCGCTGCGCCACGGCCATCGCACACATTCGCCGGGTACGAAATACCGATGGCGCGGACCTCCAGGGTCTTCGCATTGTCGATACCATCATGGTTCCTCAAACCGCCTCTGAAATGTCCCTTCTCGGATACACTGCTGCCGTTGAGCTCATGGAGCACCTCTTCGAATTTAAGGAAGCCGCAGAAACCTTCTCATCATCTTTGGAGAGATTGGCCGGTGGACTCCGCCTATGGATAGGCGGAACCGCTGGTGAGAACTGCGGAGCTACCCCTGAACTACGGCATAAGGTCGTGGATCGTTGCCTGGGTGTGACCAAGAGCCTAGTTGGCATGGAGGTTGACACCGGGTACGGGAGCATGAGCGAAGACGAATGCTAATGTCGAGCATTGCTCACACCACTCTCTATTTTCATTTTTTTCTAGTCCATTTAGGACATCATATAGCTTGCAGGCTCACTTGCATTTTCTTCACTGTTTATCGCATGCATTTATATCAACTCTTTTTCCAGTTTTTTTTTTCATTATTTTTATTCTTCAAGTTCATGCAAATCACCAATTCTTGCAACGTTCTTCTTGTTACTGCCAACTGTGTACATATGGATATGTTGCACACCTCTCCTCACCTACGACGACTTCACGATTATATGACCTGGCGTTCACGAGTCGGAAAAAAGCAATCGTTCTACAAGTGGACTCCGTTTATGGTCTTCGGCTTAGCATGGCGGCCAAGTGTTGGAGGGGAAAGCAACTGCAAACAACAATCATCTCGGCTCAAATTTGTTTTGACTTCAAGTTGGCGTTTATTGGCTCAATCAAAGTCGTATTTTGATTCTCTTTTGGGTTAACTTGGATTGGTAAAGAGTTTCACTCGAGAAAAGAAACTGCGGGGGATTATAGAGAGAAAGTTCGGACGAAAAGCATGATAGAAATGCAACCAACTGGACACAGCACATTGATAATTTACAGAAGAACTCGTGTGAAACCAGACTCGCTGAAGCTCGCTGCGCTCTACTTATGAATTGTGATACCTGAGCTGATTAGCTCCTAAAGGCTTCACTCTGTGTAACACATTCGAGGAATTATCACTGCGAACCAGACATTGGGAATCATCGAGAAAACATTATAGAGACGAATATGGGAGGGCATTTTATCGAGTATTTCAGGGAGGCTGTCTGTTTTCAAAGCGTTTCTGCAATAAGAAATTCTACCTAGCTACATATACCCAAGATCCATTGAAAATTCAATACACTCACAGATTATCCGATCCGCTGAATTGCATTTCATAGATTACCTTGATTTCAAACAAACTTTACCGTGGTCAAATCCAAGGAGAAAAGAGGCGGATAAGTTGCAGTACTTAAGTGGTTGGTGGCCCTAAAGTTAAGAGCTGTTCGACCCCACCACCTACGTAGTTCAACCTTTGTGCCCCTCCAACAAGCCCGCCATCCCATCTCCCCCAAATTCGACAACGCTGTGCAACCAGACCGACACCCAACACACCCAGGCGGCGAGCGAAAGAGTCCCCCCATCCCCCCTCTCTGCACTCCCCAAATATGGCCGCCGCATCCACAGCCGCGGCGGGCGCCGACGCGTCGTCCTTCCGCTTCCCGCGCGAGTACTCGTTCCCCGCCTTCTTCACGCGGCAGACCAACCTGACCACCCACCACGCCCAGCTCTCCAAGTGGTCCGCCCTCGTGCTCGCCTACGCGCGGCACCACCGCATCTTCCGCCTGGGGCTCTCCGCCGCCGCCGACTCGGACCTCTTCTACAACCGGCGGCTGGACCGGCGGCTGGGCATGCCCGACATCCGCGAGCTGCTCGACTTCATGAAGAAGGACGGGCGGATCGAGTACGCGTCCGGGGGTAACGGCAGCGGTGAGGGGGAGGTCGTGTTCGTGTACTGGCGCAAGCCGGAGGAGTGGGCGCGCAAGATCGAGAAGTACGTCGAGGAGACGGGGCAGAAGGGCAGCGTGCTGACCGTGTACGAGCTGGGCGAGGGCGAGGGGACGAGGGGCACCGAGATACACGGCATCGACAACGAGGTGCTGCTCAAGGCGCTCAACGTCCTCGTCCGCAAGGGGAGGGCTCAGATCTTCGGCCAGGACGACTCGCAGGGTGTCAAGTTCTTCTGAGGAAAAGGGGGGAACAGAACAAAGCCGGGAGAGTCACGACATGGAATCTGGTGATCATTTGGAACGGGTGTTGGAATAATTATGTTCATCTCGGCATTACGGGGGAATCTTCGACTTCCACTAACTATCTAACATTTACAATGAGGGTTCTGGCGAAGCCACTCAACTGGACGGCGAAACAAGCAAGGCTGGCTCTTCTTTCATGAGTCGTTCTGGAAGAAGTTCTCTGCTAGGAACTTGTCGTTGAACCTGACTTGTTGCGCCATCGCGACGTCCAACAGCCAGTCTGGCGCCACCACTCGTGGTTCCATGTTGCCCTTCTCTGCCATGTCCTTGAACCGAGCCCACATTTGCTTCTCCTCAGGGCTGGCGCAGCTGATGAGGTAGACGGGCTCGGGTGGTGCATGGCCATCTTCCTCTGCTGTAGTCGGCTTGATTGTTGTGCCGCTGCGTGCCCGATAGACCTTGAAGATGGCACCGTTGGCCTCCGCGATGGCCTTATAACTATCAATGCCGTTGCGGATTTTCTCGGTGCAGTATATGCCGACCCCCTGGAGCAGCTTGCCCTTGTTGGCCTTGGCCCTCGCGATCGAGCGTTTGAGGCTCATATCAAAGCGTGCTTCCGCCTCATCGTCCTTGAGAATGTAATCCTCTACAGGAGGTACCGCGCCATCCTCCAAGGTTTTCTGGATGAAGTCGGAGGAGATGACTGTTGGGCCGCGTGCTAAAGCACAAAGAAACTTGACTGTCCGCACAATATTCGGTGCAGCTAGGTAATCGCATGGTTGGCCCTCCTGAACAATCTGAATACCCAGATCTCGAAGTTTCCTCTGCATAGATTAGTTAGCGACATAGCGGCACAATCCAATAAAATGCAAATACGTACCCTGTCTTTGTCCTCCCTGTTTTTATCCCCCACCCAAGAGCTGAAGCCGGTCAAGACTATGCGCAATTCGACATCCGGAAGCGATGGTCTTGCCTTCTTAGCTGGCCGCTTGCGTTCCTCCGCGTCGCCTTCCTCTGGTGATGGACTGGACGTATGTGCCTGTTTCTCCTGCTTCTCCTTTTCAGTGAGGTCCGCCGCGCGTTTACCCCCCCAAGGGGCGTTTCCAGCTTTGCTATGCCTCTTCTTTTCCTTCTCGTAGAGAGCGATGTCGGGCGCAATGTCGTGCAGGATATCCCGAGCCTTGGCTTTGGCGCTTCTGCTTCCCGTGGACATGACGGATGGTGTGTCGTTTTCCTTTCCTGATGCTGCCCGTCGAGGTCTGATTGGAGTTGCAGTAGCTTCCGCCCCCGCCTTCTTTAGCTCTCTCTCTTTGTCTGGTTGACCGATAACAACGCCTTCAGCTGGTCCGTGACGGTAAGAGTTGTCTTCGGCAACTTCCAGGATCTTCCGCTTCCGCTTCGCTCGCGGAGACATGTGCTCCTCGCCTCCTGGGTAGTAAAGCTCCCGCAGCCGCGATTCATCGAAGAAGGTCTGACCAATAATTTCGCCTAGATTCGTTCGCAGAGGGAAGTGATTGTATTTCTTGATGTTGTAGGGCTTCATTTCCGATTTGGCATAGCATTCCTCAATCCAAAGGTGGTTGACGACTGCGATGCCCCATTCCGGTGCCGCCCTACACTTTTCGCTTGTGTTCCGTGCCGTGATGAGATGTGTGTTATCCGCCTTCATGGTTTTTGTGAACTCAGCACCACAAGCCTTGATCAAGTTTTCGAGGTATATCCGAGCCTCTCCGCCGTAGTTTGAGACCGTAATCCGCAAGTTCTCGAATCCCTTGATGCCGTTCCTGGGGATAGGATAGTGCATCAGACGATGTAGCGGAGAAGACCACTCATTTCGAATAATGAGATAATAGAGCCATGACAGGTTGCCCACGTCCTTGCATGACTGTCCTGCGCGCACAAACTGTTCGCCGTCTCGATATTGGCAAATGAATGTGTCGCATTCCGAGACGTCAGTGACGAATTTTCCGCCTCCGTTCACAATAATGTCTTCGATGGCTTTCCTGAGTCGAACCGTTATCCCCAAGTCTTCCGAGAGCATCACTCGTCGATCTTGGAATACAGTGACTGGTGGCCGGACGACATCGGAGTTGGGGGGAAGAGGTAGAGACTGAGGGTTTGCTGAGGTCGCGCCAGCCAGTTCGGGGTTGGCAGGTATTTCGAGGGAGTCATCAGGGTTCGATTTCAGTATGGGAGGATCAGGCAAAAGGTACGGTCGCTCGTCGATTCGCTTGCCCAGCTTGAAGCAATCATCAAACCTGCGTTGCCAAATTAGACAAGTCCACGCGATCTTCTTCATCTGCACCTACCAGTGCGGCAGGACCACTTTGCCCTTCCAGCCCTTTTGAAGGGACGCTTCGACTTTGGGATGGTCCATGGACAGGGAGCAAATGTGGGTTGTCAGGCGCGTGGCATCCTTTGTCTCTTGCCCACCAAGGGCCATGGTCGCGCCCAGGATGCTTTCCTTATCCATTATGGGAAGATCGCCGCAGGTTACAATAACCTGTGAGAAGATCATCCGGGGGTCTGGCGAGAAGGTCCGTACATTTGCCTGCTTACGGCGCGCAATCGACGTAGTAATCCAATCGGTGGTGACGACGGGGATCATGATCGCTTGCGACTCGGTGAACTGGGTGAAATCGATCGTGTTCGAGACGATATGTGTGACCTTTTCTATGGGAAGGGAGCCATCGCGGCGCGGCTCGCATACCGTGGCTCCATTATCTTGGACAATACTGGATAGCTGTGGTAAATGTGTATTAGATATGGGTAGAATTGGCTGAGAAGAAGTCGACATACATCGCCTATGAGCTTTGGAGTCAAACTACTGCTGGGCACGAAAGCAATAGAGCAGTCATCGAACATGCCAGGTTTAGCGTCCCCCATGATGGAAGCTGAGACCGCGTTCACGGTCCGTGGTAGGATGAGGTATCAACGTGAGATCAACGTGGAGGTGGTATTGGGGATTCAAGTACGCCACTTTGAACAGCTTCAGAAAGTGCAGGTGTGATGAATGCGAACCAAAAAAAAGCCCCTCTGAATGTCCATGCTTCTCTGTAGCCTATTATCCTGAAGATTGTTGAACGCGACTGGAGTCAACGCGAACCAGGCAGGCGGTCACGTGAAGATACAAGTAGAGGGACATTGGTAAACCACTTTCTTAGTGGCTGATGTGTGCATGATAGTGGGGTTCAAGGTTCCAGTACTTTGCATTAATGGTGTTCTCCACAGCGCGTATGGCACTTACTCCATTGGGTATATGATGCATTGGCTTCTGCCTTAGTTGGCACGAATTTGTAAGAAATAAAGACAAGTCTCCCTTCTTGTTTCCCTTTTAGTATAAAGGTACAGTCTTGCGGAATAGAACTGCATTGAATGCCTGTCGTAGGATCACAATTCTGCAGTTTACGTTTGAGAGGCTGGCATTGCTGGAACCTAGTTCAAGACCATGTTGAAGCTGTTGGTTGAAAACAAACAATTTTGATCCATGTTAACCATAAATACTACCTACTAAATGCCCCTCTTCGCTCAAAGGAGAGTTCGGTGAGAATGTTCTCTAGCTATATGCAAGTTATATGTACTTTATGTTCCATGCCTTCATTAACAACCTTGAAACCAAACCCTGTATAAATGCCAAGACTCCAAGTAACTCCCCCAAAGAATTACATGACCAGAATTAGATCCAGAATTACTTCCCAGTACCTAGGAAGTATCTGAGATAACGCAAGGCTCTTGCGTACCAGCCTTAAACACATGCCGATGCCACTGCCGTCCCTAGTAGCGAGCTTTCCTTGGCGGGGACCAGCTTGATGCTACCCTTCTCGGAAGAACCTCTGCTTTCCGACAACTCATCAATGTAGCGCTGGCAGCTCTCCAGATAACCCGGGTAGTGCTCGATGACGCTGCCGTTGAATGCGACGGTGGTGTTTTCCAACTTCAGGTCGTCGTGTGCGCTTTGATAAAATGTCGAATCCTTGGGAAGAGTCGCGACCAGATTTTGGTTACTCTCGCGTCGAACATCCCATAGAGTGGAGACACATGTTGCCACAAGAGCGCTTGAACGTAACGAGATGAACGATGCGAGGGACTTGAGAGCTGCGATATCCGAGAAGGTTGGCTTGTGGGCGGAGGGGTGACGATCCGAGAACAATTTCCTGGCTTGAGTGAGGTCATCCGAGGTATCACTGCATATAATTAGCATCGATGTGAAACAGATAGCCAACAGGATCTCTGGGTTTTACCTTGCAATCATGGATAGCGTTTCAGTTCCAAGAGAATATGGGGTGGATAGTGATGGAGGAACAAGACCGCCAAATACGCCAGTAGTCTCTATGGCCTCGATAAGGGCAAATCGAGCGACCTCTCCTAGATACATGCCGCTAACCATGTGCTCCAAGGGCTGGAAATCAGGGCGACTGTGTCCGTCTAGGAGTTGTTGGTCCCATCTTGTGACAGGAAGGATGCCATAGCCGAACATACCAAGTTCGGTGTTGACGATGACATGGCTTGCGCGGTCAAACCACCCGTCAGGACGGGTACCGAACTTTTTACGGCTGATGAGAGAGACAGGAAGGTACGCGGCGATGTTTACTCCGGTTCCAAGAATGAGACCGAATCTGGTGGAGGTTTGGAAAAATGCTTCGGAGAGGAGGCAGGCCGTCGAATCATTCACGATGGCTGCCACCTCAACATTGAGGCCGTGGGTTTTACAGGAGCCCGCGATGAGCTCACCAAGATCACGGCCCATCAAACCTTTGTGTGCCACAAACCCCTTGCCCATAGACTGGAGCTTGCCAGCTCCTAGTGCTGTTTGCCTGATGACACGTTAGCATTGATTGTCGAACCTGGAACGACTTGGCTTACTCGATCGGAAAACTCCAAGCAATGGCCATGGGCAATGGTTCGTCAGACTCGTGGGGTTGGGACGATAGTGTCTCGATGATTCTCGCAGCCATCCAATCGAAGAATAATGTACCCTCGAGATCTTTGACCTCCTTCCCTATGACGAAGTTGCAGATGCTCAGGATCTTGCTTGTCTGCTCTTGAAGGTGTTTTCGGCCACTCAATTCCACCAACGCAACCCTGAGCGTCGAGCCTCCAACGTCGAGAGCCAAATATCTGCCAGATTCATCGCCGGTGGGCAGTCGGTGGCTATAGGAAGGTAGCATGCACTCAACGCCTGACTGAAGCCGGTCCAGGAACTGTGCCTTCAACTCTGCGGATAGTTGCTCAAGCTTGTCGGGACTGACTGGGTCGACAAACTCTTTCTCGGCTTCCTTGAGGAACTCTTGGATGGATCGCGCGGTAGACGCGGCGGTACCGACCTGGGCGCTATTGGGCGTGTTCAGGGAGAGGGTACCGAAGCAGTATTCTAGCACAGCCTGTATGAGAGACTTGCCTCGCAGCAGACTTTTAACCATTGCGGAAATGAGGGTTTTGTGGAATGAAGACATGACATGAACGAGAGACCGAACAGCGTCTAAATTCTCTATGAGGCAAACGGGTTGACAAGCGAGTGAAGGTGTGAAGGACCAAAGGTTGAGGAACGAAAGAAGCCGAGAGTCTTATTATAGGTTGCAAAGAGAGGCGGTGGGTATGGGATAAAATAAAGACGATAGAATGCCGAGGGGTCACGACATATTCCAGCCCGGTGAGAGGAGACGAAAGTCGTAAAAGGCAACGCTGAACGGTAACAAGACGAAGGAAACAATGCCGGCTGCGGATCTACCCAAGCAAACGAACGATCGAGTAGGTGATACGGCCAACGAGCGACTACGAGTAGACCACACGCACAAGCATATACGAGGTGTAAAATGAAACGTCTTGACACAATGCCAACGCTAAAAAGATCGATTGGGAGGGGGTGGGCGAGAGAGCGTGGTATAGGGAAGCCGACATGTAAAACCGCTAGGTGGCAGGGTGGGCTTTGTCGACGTTGCAAACTGGAAGCCACCTCGAACAGTTGGGAGGTACCTCGTAAGCCTTGGGCGAACGGCCGGCCCTGTTACGGATTGAGGAGTGGTCGTCAAGGCAGCAAGGAATCAGGGGGCGGACCCTGGAGGAGCGCAAAAATGGGAGGGCATGTGGTATGCTCGAGGTGTGTCGGACCACTGTTGCGGGACTCTGTTGGCTTCCCATGCCCGATCCTCACTCTTCATCATCCATTTCGCTTGTTGCGCGGGCGTGAAGATGAGCAGGCGAATAGTGCTGTAACGTTGCGGCCACTTTGGGGGCTTTGGTAAGGTACTGGCGATGTGGAGCCCCTGTGTCTGGAGCCTGGGTCTCGGGTCTTGGGGCTTCGGCGTGGGTCGGTGGCCTTGAACAGAGACAGTCGATGGCACTAACTGCTCTGGGCGCAGGTGGCTCTCCCACTGGCCTTGCCTGCCTGGGCAGGTTGCGGCTGATCGTGACTACCCTTTTTGAGACATGGGGGCCGTTGTCTCTCCACTTCCAACGTACGTGCCTTCCTCCTCGCCACGCCCATTCCTGTCTCTGTATGAGAGGGTAGCAAGAAGCACCAGACAATGGACGGACGTTCTGCCCATCCTGGCCGCAACTGCAACGGCGTCTGTCTTGTCTGCCGCACGCCTTCATCATACTAGGCCTCACTGGCAGATTTAAGCGCTGTCACTTTGCTACCTACCTAATCTAATTGGGACAAGCTTCTACTGATATAACAGAAATCGAGCCAAGATAGGTAGGTAGCGGTATTGAATTTCACCTCTATCGCGGCCATCAAATACGGATATCAAGAGACCGAATAGTCGAAGCCTATTTCCTTTTTGTACGGCTTGACCGGGAACTTCCTCCCCACTAGCAGCCTGCTAAGCTGTGAAGGTACTTCCCGGGCAAACTCTTTGACCGTCTCATGACCCAGATATCCTTCAAATTCCCAAACAGAGTAATGTCGTCAAAGATTTTCCCCGGTGACCTCATGGTGTCCCTCAGGTACTTGCCTGTACATCTACTTACTTACTGTCTCGCCGGCTCCAGTTGTGGCCATATTATTAATACCATACAGAAACAGAGAGCCAGGGCGAGGGACTCGTGACAGCATATGCAACAATGTCCGGCACCCATCCGAACATGCTCTGAAGCCTGAGCCTATCTGGGCAAATGCATCCCGTCCCGGAAGTAGAGCCCCAGTCCCGGCTTTGATGGCAGTGACGTTCCATCCATCTCACGACTGTGTGAGACTGGAAGATGAGTAGTCATAAACTTTCTCACTAAAACAGGGTTTGGGCTACCCACCGCGCGCCACGTTGCTTAGATTGATCCCATCATGATTCAGAAGGGAGAGAAGAGCGCTGGCCACTCGGCATCCGCTGCTCCCTTCCCAGGTAGGTATCTGGGAGTCACCCGATGGTTGGTCAACAGGCAAACCCGTCTGCTAGCTACCTCATAAAACACCCCATACCTCTGCTTTTCTCTTCTTTCTATTCTTCCTCGATCTCTCGAGAGAATCGAGCACACCTACCTGCCATCCTTGTTAAAATACCCGATACAGCCTTTCTTCTTTTGGCAATCCTCCATCAACATCCTAGACTCAATCCACATTCTGTGCCTAGTCTAGATCGAGTTACCATACCCCTGGTTCATCATGAGATTGATTATCAGGGAAGACGCTGATGCGGCCAGCACGTACGTTGCCAAGTACATCATTGAGCGCATCAGGGCCTTCAACCCATCCCCTCAGAACCCATTCGTGCTTGGCCTACCCACGGGCTCCAGCCCCCTTGGGGTATATAAAATACTGGTTGATACCTACAAAGCTGGCCAGGTTAGTACAGTTTACTTTGTTGACTGATGTGTGATAACATAGCTAATCATTGACTGGCAAATTCGATAGATCTCGTTCGAAAATGTCGTCACTTTCAACATGGACGAATATGTCGGGATCCCCCGCGACCATGAGCAGTCTTACCACACATTCATGTGGAAGCACTTCTTCTCCCACGTGAACATCCATCCATCAAATGTGCACATCCTCGATGGAAATGCCCCGAACCTCGAGGCTGAGTGTGTCGCATATGAGGAAGAAATCAAGAAAGCCGGTGGCATTGATTTGTTCCTTTCTGGGATCGGAGAAGATGGGCACGTCGCCTTCAACGAGCCTGGTTCAAGCCTGGCAAGTAGGACTCGGGTGAAGACCTTGGCCTACGATACGATCCTTGCCAACTCTCGTTTCTTCGAAAACGATGTGAGCAAGGTTCCCAAGATGGCTCTCACAGTGGGAGTGCAAACCGTCCTGGAAGCACGGGAGGTCGTTGTGATCATTATTGGCCAGCGAAAGTCTCTCGCCCTCCAAAGATGCATTGAACAAGGAGTCAACCACATGTGGACACTTTCCAGTCTCCAGCTTCACCCCCACCCCATGATTGTTGTGGATGAGGATGCGACCCTGGAACTCCAGGTGAAGACGGTCAAGGTGAGCGCTAAGACATCCTTGGTGAGAAGTTTCGTCGTGAAGTAGGTAAGCTGACAACAGATTATAGTACTTCAAGAGCATTGAGCAGGTTGCGCTGGCGCAAGGCTTCGAGCAGATCCTTCCTTCGAAGGTCCGCACTGGCAACGGAGTCGTTCCCACAACCAGGGTTGAAAAGGTCGAGTCGCCCACGATCTTGGCTCCTCAACCAACAACCTCTCGCCTCCTGAGGGCGACTCCGGCCACGGAATACCCCATCCGCTCCGTTTCCCCGGATCTTGTGCCAGATAGAATGGCTTCCCGAATCCCGGAGCCAAACATAAACCAGAGGCTCACGCCAAACCCAGAGCAACAGGCAATGAGACAGCCCAACGCTATTGCCGTGTGAGAGAAGGAGCGCTCGCGATTGTTCCATACGAGGGTTCTATTGCTGTTTTTATTTCCCTTTGTCTTAACTTAGGTAGTACTCAAGATTGTCCCACTAAGAACTACACCACGGAGTTGCGTTATCCTAATTTGATAAATTAAATGGGTGTTTTGAGATTAACGACTTGGCTTTGGAGTGTACGGCTAAGGTTACATGGTTACTAGAACGGTCACTGGAAATTATACAGTCGGTTTAGGTTTACGAATTGAAATGACACGTTACGTTATGCATGTGTTTACGTTATTCATGTTTTCTTGTTCTTACGTTATTCTTGTTTATTGAGGGAAAAAAGAAACAGCTGTAATTGTGCCCTCATCTCGAGGATCTCATCCATCATAATTGAGGCCTACTCCAAACAACCACGGGTATAATCAAGACCGATAGCTAAAGTTGAAAAGACATAGCCTCCAAATTCCCTTTTCCTGCAGGATGATAAATAAAAAGAACAAAATGATGGAAAAATAAAGGAAGCCAGAAAATAAAAGTAGCTGGTCGATGTGGCGTGGATAGGCAAATCACAACAAGCAGACAGCCAAAGCCCTCTCCAAAGCTTCTACTAGTATACACATTTCCCCACCTTGGAATCTTGTTCTTACACACCTTCAACACACGTTCAGTCGGCAGCAAAGTAACGCTTTGCCTTTCGTCGGATTTGTTGGGCTTTGATCTCCGGAGGCACAACGGTGTGGTGTACCACATGAGGTCGGTAGACAGCATCGACTGGGGGCATCCTATTGAATGTTAGCTTGGATGGAACATCGTTTGAAGAGGCTCTTATACGCACCAGTCATCGACGCTCAAAGGGAAGTATTCGTAGAGCGGATCACCCTCTTCTGGGGGGCTGCTCCCAGACACTAGGCCAGAGACTTGCTGTGTCTTGCCCCGGGGGCTTGAGATTTCAGCGCTGGATCGGTTCGGGCTTCTCTCATCTTCGGATAGTGATAGATTGATGGGAGCTGAAGGCATTTGTCGGGGTACGCCCTTTGATGACAGGTTGGTGTTGGATTTTGCCAATTGGGCATCCCATCCTGGAACAGGGGGCTTTGCCATGGTTGGAGAGATGGCTTGACGTTTAGATGGATGTGGCCCTTGCCCCGGCTGAGTATATGCCTGTGGCGTAGCCCATTCGCTTCCTTGATCGGACGGTGTCTGCGATGTCTGCATAGGATAAGATCCTGTGTCAATATAATTGGCTGGAATATTTGTTTGGAATGTCTGGCAGAGCAAATTCTCTCGCTCGCTCTTGATTGTTGGATGATCAGTCGAACCCGAGGTGTTTCGCCGTTCAAACTTGCGATCTCCTGTCAATGGCACATCCTTCCTGCTGTCGAAGTTCCTCGGACTGCGGCCGCGAACAATGACGGGTCCTGATCGTATCTCGGCAATTTTGATTGTGTCTCCAGCTTTGGTTCGGCCAACTAAATTAATTTGCACGACATAGTGTTGCTGCAGCCCCTTTCTCCTTCCATTATTCGCAGTTGCATGCTTGAATTGCAGCCTCTTCCATGCTACCGAAATGGTGGTTCGATTGGCGTCAACTTCATGCCCAGTGGATGAATCAAGTGTGATATGTAAAGGGGGGCCTGCCGTCTTCGGCTCCTCGCTGGCTTGGGGGTTGGAGCTCTTCCAGGGAATTGATATGATCTCCGTCGCCTTCTTCTCGATGGACTCTATTGCAGTGATGGAAGCAGATAGCTCAACTAGGGGTAGACGGCGGCCCTGGTCGTCCACCACTGATGCCATCCGAGGAAGTGTGATCTGACCCGTGCACTGCCAGAGGTTACGACGATAGCATGTCAACTCAAGCGGCCGGCCAGTAGTATCGGCGCCAAAGACGTCTTCGGCAACAAAAAACATTCCATATAGCTCGGCCGTCATCCCGACGTCGCATACGTTTCCCATTTCATCTACTAGTGTCGTAACAGTAATGGGGTCTGAGAATCCTAGGAGCTTATTGTCCAGTTCCTGCGGAGAAGAACCATCATTGAGGTTATCCTGGTGGGTCGATGGCGCTTCGAACGGTCTCGCTGAATATGAGAATGGGTCTTCAAAGGTGGCTGTTAAGCCGTCGAAATCGTATGAGGGGGTGAACGGGAGTTGTCCAAACGCGCTTCCATCACTGCAAGCATGGGGCGATTAGTTGTCATATTCAGATATTCTGGGAAACCTCTATTGAGAAAAAGATGTCTTACAGTAAGGGGTCTTCAAAATTGATGTCCTGTTCGAAGCGCGGGAGTGACTGGTCAAGCTGACCAGTCGGGCCATGGCTCAGTCCATGTAGACCATCGCCAGTCGGCATGGAGTTGAAAGCCGCCATGGCATTGTTTATGCCAAGTTCAACAGCACCGCATCTGGGGAACAGACCACGCTCAACAGACGGGCGGTCCGCGATTGGAGTCAACTGCTGCGTGTGGTTGGGAGTTTCTGGCCGGTCCTCCGTCTGTCAGCCTACGCCGGCCAGTCCAACTACTGGTCCTTTTTTTGAAACACAGGATCCGTGTCTTGCCGTGCTCTTGCGCAATCGGCGTGGGTTCAGATAAATGGTCGCTGAGTCGCAATGCAGGTATCGAAGAAGTCAGCCGTTGAGCCGTCGTGGTGCGGAGTGGTGGAAGGCGCAAAATCGAGGGGTCGCACAAAGGCAGCAGCAGTGGAATCCTTACGAGGCACAGGCGTGATGGTCTGGAGATGAGAGAGCGCAGTAGTTGTCTCGGACCTGAGCGTTAAGCTAATAGGGTAGCCACTGGTAGCCGGTTGCCTCTACCCGCCTGTCCACCCGCCGGGCTAGGGAGGTAGGAGGTACTACAGGTACCTACCTGAGATGATAGTGCCTGTGCTACCTGGACCACAGTGGCATCGGCCCCCCAAAAAGGCCGCCATCCACGCTCCACACACTTCCTCCTCCATATCCTCGGGGTTCCACCTTCTGTAACGGGTTACCCTTTGGGGGAGGGGAAGGGGCATCATTGGACATCTGCCAGATAAGTAATTACTTCGAGAGCAACCACCGGCTGAGAAATGACGGGCAGATACTAAGATGACCATGAACATCATTGCCTAGCTCGTAGCGCGAAGCTGGACCCCGCCAGTGAAATCTCAAGGCCGGTCACCCGACACTGGCCTCCCGACTCATCAATTGCCCATATCAACATCAGCTCTTATCTCGGGAAAAAGAAATTAGGTACTAGTCATCCCTCGCTGTGCCCCTAACTGCAGACAAGCTTCGACGCGACATGTCTGACTGCCGCAAGACATCTTCAGCCGTTCCGCTGCCAGAGCTCGGTACATGCCCGCTCCCACATGTTATAATTACATGCTGATGCTATGGATCCAAAAGCATCAGAAGGCGGGGAAAACACTCTAGTAGGGCGATCCTTCCGACACACATTCCTGGCCGGCCGAGATCCCGTGACATTTATATTTGGTCTACGTGCGACAGGCGGCGACTGAAGGGCCGAAGACGGGATGGAGCCAGCCTGAAGGTGGTGCCGTAGCGTTGCATTCCCTTGCCCATCATGACCTTATCGCCACAGCACCTGCTTGCCTGCATGTTGACGGTTTTGAATATATTAACTCGTCGGGGCCAGACTGACTCAAGGGCATAATAACGTATGCATCACCCCGTTCGCTACGTCTCGGGTCGTACCAAGGAGTACACTTTTATTTTAGTCTACCTAATCTATGCCGGGGAACAAAAAAAAAGAATTGAAAGCAAAACCCTGCCAAAACTCCGTACCACATGCTTGTTACAGGTCCCCACCACCAACTAAGACCATTCTAACCCAACTGTCTGAACGCCCAAGACAGCAAAGACATAATACTCACACTAATCCATTCCCTGTTTCTCATGAGTACATTCTACAAACTGCCCGTTCTATGAAAGGTGTGGGATATTCGATGTACATGAAAGTCCTGCTTCCTGATAAGATCAGGTGGTCATCTTACTAGGCCGGGATACCCGGGTTCCGAACTTCCAAACCTCTTCTAATATTAATTGAGTTGAGCCATCGAATGTATGATCCGATAGAATGATGAGGTCAGCATCGGCATCGGCGTCCAGTGTGCCTTTAATGCCCTGCAGCCCTAGCATGGCGGCTGGCGTGGAAGTTACCGCTTTGAGGGCTGCTGGAATGCTGGTCCCTGACCACTGAAGGAAGTTATTGACACACTCAAGAAGCGTGATAGAGCTATCAAGTCGGTTAGTTGGATGTCATATCGGCTAGGGTTCCGGATAGTTTCTCCTTTGACTTACCTTCCAGCAATTGTATCTGATCCCTCGAGGAGCAGAGTATAGCCGTCTTTGACTATGTTGCAGGTCTTTTGCCCATTAGTCCATGGGTAGACGCCGTCAGGCAGTCCCACCATGTGCATTGCGTCTGTGACCAAAATGAAGCCTTCTGGGTGAGAATTGAAGGCGATTTTGATCGTCGTAGGATGGAGATGAATCCCGTCGGCGATGATGCCAAAATATGGCCGATTCAAGGTCTCAGCAATGCCCAAGACTCCAAATACGCCTGGGTTTCGGTGGTGAAGCGGCCGCATAGCGTTGAATAGATGAGTTATCATGGTGGCACCATTGTCTACCGCGCTCGAGGCATCCTCGTACGTGGCTTCAGTGTGTCCAATAGAGTATATGATTCCCCTTGAGCAAATCTCGGGAATGAGTTTCATCATGTTCCCACGCTCGGGGGCAGCAGTGATCATTCGGATGGGGATGATATCATCTTCGGACTGGGGGGTCAAGTTCTCAGCCCCATAGCAGTCCTCAATGTCCTTGAATGAGTGAGCCTCTGTCAACACATCCACATTGTGCACACCATTCTTGGCAGGGTTCAGGAAAGGGCCCTCGCAATGGGCCCCGAGTGACTCTGCTCCATCTGCTGCTCGTCTCGCTCGGCCCGAGGGTCCTAAGAAGGGCACGACCTAGATCAAACAGGCAGCTTGTCAGCGATGTGAATGAATCATTGGCGAACATGTGCACAAACCTTCTTGTACAACTCCGGACGTTGGCTGGTAACGGTGGGAACGTAAGACGTGACACCAGTTTGAACCAGAAGCTGGTTGAGCTCCCCGACTTTTTCCCCGTACAGACGATCTTGTTCTAACACGGTGGAAAAGTTAAAGCCAAAGGCACCGTTGAGCTGGCATTCGATCATGCCAGGGGCGACGATGCGTCCGCCAAGATCAATAACCTCATCGGGTAAATTGAGTTCATCATAGAATGAAGCCTGGCTGTGAATAATCTTCCCGGTCAGAGAACTGACCCAAAGATCTTCCTCCACCAACTTATCGCCTTTAAGAAGACGACAGTTGGTGAATTTTGTAAGGCCGTTGCGAGCCCTGGTGGGAGAAAGGGCAATGGGCATGGCTGATGGATGGATGTGGGTGGGTGTGGGTGATCTGATCTGATATCAGGTGTGCTCGGGGAGAAGGGAGTAGTAGTTGGGAAGGATAGGTTCGGAAAAGCTTGCTATGAGATAAGCAGCCTACGGTTCAAATAAGATTCAGAGGCTTTTCTGAAGGCAAGGTTCGGGCAGTCTACTATTATCACCACACACACACATGACCAAGAAAGAAGTACGTACATCCGACTAACACCTTGGTGCTAGTATATCTCTTCCGTCTTCGGAACCTACAACCAGTCAAGGTGCAATTCTGAACAATTCTGGAGCCATGTTCCAATGGATTGTTCCAGCAGGCCTGGGTTGTGACAAATCTGTTGGCGAGGTGAGGTGATGTGATATGAGCAGACCTGCTACAACACTGGCTCTATCGCCGGCGATCCAAGCAATCTTCCCACATGCTTGCCTGATACGCCGAGCGTGTCCCAGTCAACGTGTCCTATGATGAAATGGAAGCAGTCACAGTGGACACATCCAAGACCCAGCGCACCCCGGAAGAGACGGACACCACCGTCGGGTGTCGTGGCAGTCGCCGTCCGGTGGTGATGCGACAATGAGTTGTGACAGGCGCCGGCTCGCGCTTGGCATCGGCGAGCAGTATCAGAGGATGGATTACTTGGTAGGTTGCTTCCTGCTCCCCATGTAACGTTGGGTCGGCCGCCGTCCTTTGTCTTGCCTGGGCGGTTCTCTTATCCACTCCTTCTAGAAACCACCAACAGCCGCCAAGGAGCTAGTGCCAGTCGCAAGACACAGGTACATGGAGGTACCTCGAGTACTCCATCCACCAGCGCGCGACCTTTGATTTTAGCGGCCCCATCTGTGGCGGCCTGTGGCTAGAGCCTTCGGTTGGCTGGTGCCCCCAGTCCCCCAGAGAAGACATGCCTAACAGACGGGTGGGCACCCAGCGAGGTACTTCGGAAGGTAGTGGAGGTCGTCAGCAGCGCGACAGTGCGTACAGTGCGACAGGGCTCTTCGCCAGGAATCGGGTGGGCTGGCTGAGGCAGGTACTTTGCAACGGCCCTATTCCGTGTCACAGCCAGTGAAGCCCATTCTGCGGCAGGCGCAAGTGACATGGAGCCTCTGTCCATCCATCCCACGTCGTCGCTGTCCATGCTCCAGCCTCCCGCGCGCCCTGTGCACACAACACATCCATATCAGACTCCAGGGATCGGCTGATCTGAGGAGACGTCAGCGCAGAGCCGGATTGTTACATTTCTTCCTCCTCATCAGCTTCTCGAAATTTGGAGCCTTGCTAGTGCTGCCCGTGCCCGTGGCGGCAACGGTCTTCAGCGTCTCATGCCTACTGGCTTGCGACGAGCTCCAGATCCAGGCAAGCGGAGCATGGTTCCAAGCAACCATAGCGTGACAGGCCGAGTTTTCTTGAGTTGGGTGATTCCACGGCCCTCAGGATGGCGAGCAATAGTGAATTAGACCCACTATGGAGGAATGTCGATTGGTGCGTGAGGCTCTGCATACTCTCTTGACAATGTGCATTCCATTCTAGTTGGACCCTGCGTGAAGCCAGCCATGGCGCCAGCCTTGCGTGGAGAGCCGTTATCGACATGTGTCGTTGTAGGAATGCGGTTCTCCCGCTGGCTCTACCCAACGGCTTCTAACTTTTTTTGAACGCCAGATCGCTAATGCTTCATGTAGGGCGATTGGTCAGACCCTCCTGATGGGATGGGACGGCACAGAGGTCACCGCGGAGATCAGGACCCTAATTGAAGATCACCATCTCGGGTCAATCATCTTGACTGCCAAGAACCTTGAATGTTAGCTCTCCTTTTTTCTGTTCTGATTCTCCTTGTGCCCTTCTCCCCGTTGCTTTCAGCTGTTATCTGCCATTCACTTTCATCTACGAGATATGTGCGATGTTTCATTTACTCCAATACGTATATGTGTCTGGTTGGGGGGGGAGTAAGACCATATATATGCTAACTTGTTCTCAGCTGCTCAGCAAACATCAAGGCTTGTCCAGGAGCTTCAGACAATTGCTAAAAATGCCGGACATCCGTATCCCTTACTGATCGCCCTGGACCAGGAGAACGGGGGGGTAAATAGTCTTTTTGACCAAGATCTTGTCTGTCAATTCCCGAGTGCAATGGGCATTGCTGCTACAGGTCGGGCTGAGCTAGCATACGAAGTCACCAAGGCTACAGCTACGGAGATATCGGCCTGTGGCGTAAACTTGATGCTTGGTCCAGTCCTGGATGTGCTCAACAATGCCCGTTACCAACCCTTGGGTGTGAGGGCGACTGGTGATGACCCGCAAGAGGTATCTCAGTACGGCCTAGCCGCTCTCAGTGGTATCCGTGATGCCGGAATGGCTTCGTGTGGTAAACATTTCCCTTCCTATGGCAATTTGGACTTCCTCGGTTCCAACCTGGATGTGCCCATCATCACTCAGACTTTAGAGGAGCTAAGCCTCAGTGCTTTGGTTCCTTTTCGCAATGCCATCGCTTCTGGGAAACTCGACGCCATGTTCGTTGGCGGTTGTGGTATTTCCAACCCATCAATGAACGTAAGCCATGCTTGTCTCTCGGATCAGGTCGTCGATGACTTGCTTAGAACCGAGCTCGGATTCGATGGTGTTGCTATTTCAGAGTGTCTTGAGATGGAAGCGTTGAGCCACGACCTCGGTGTTCAGAACGGAGTTGTCAGAGCTGTGCAGGCGGGATGTGATCTAGTACTACTCTGCCGTGCGTACGATGTGCAGTTAGAGGCTATAAAAGGTCTAAAGCTCGGCATAGAGGACGGGATTATATCTATGGCAAGACTTATGAAATCTGTCAAGCGGGTCTTGAAACTCAAGGCCCGCTGCACCTCATGGTCAAAAGCTTTGCAGCCACCGGGAACATCGCTACTTTCTCAACTTCACCCATCACATTTGGCTTTATCTAGACGAGCCTATGATGATTCAATCACTGTCATCAGAGACAAGGAGAAATTGCTTCCGCTCTCTTCTTCTATGCACCCAGGCGAGGAGCTTCTTTTACTTACCCCCTTGGTCAAGCCACTCCCAGCTTCGCAGTTAACCAAGAGCCTCGCCGGGTCGAAACCCAACGGCCAGTCATTAATACCCACTATTCACGATTCTTGGAATCATAGTGAACGAGAGAGGGGATCGATCTTGAGCGGCGAGGGTGTTTTCAGGGAATTCGGAAAAGAATTGGCACGCGCAAGAAATGAAAAACTCCTTCACACGAGTTATACTGCCAATGGAGTGCGCCCAGGTACTACTACATTAAACCCCTCCCGCAAGTTGCCTCAAGATACCGAAGACGGAAGCTAACAGGAAACAGTTCACGAAAATCTGATCAATAGAGCATCCTGCATCATCATCATCACGGCAGATGCAACTCGAAACATGTACCAGGCCGGATTTACTAAGCATGTCGACATGATGTGTTCCATGCTTCGTAGCCGTGGCCAGAAGAAACAGCTCATTGTTGTTGCAGTGAGCTCGCCATATGATTTTGCCATGGACACGTCTATCGGTACCTACATTTGCACTTTCGATTTCACCGAGACAGCTATGCATGCTTTAGTCAGAGCTTTGGTGGGCCAGACGACTCCTAGTGGTACCCTTCCTGGAACCCTCCGAAAGAGTAAAAAGGTTCTCAAGCCGAGGCAACATTGGTTGGTGGAGGAATATGACCGAAACCGTGATGCAGCAGGGTTGGGCGATCTATTACGGGCCGTCAACCGGGCAAGCATACCCGATCTCCAATTCCTGCGAACTACAAGCGCGTCGTCGTTCGAATTATCTAACCCCAACGTTAAGGAAGCACACTTTGTAGTTCGCAATAGTAGCACGCACGCCTTGTATGGCTTCGTTGCCACATATTTCGTCTCAGGCGTGGGTATCCTCGGGGCATTGATAGTTGATCCCAGTAAGCGAAATGTGTCGATAGGGAGATCTCTCCACCGACGGGCTTTGCGAACTCTCAAGCAGCAACAGGGGCTCAAAAAACTTCAGGCGGGGACGTCATTCCCAGGTGTTTTCCTCGGAGTACCTGTGGACGTCGGGTCTCATAGTACGAGGGAGTGGCTCGCGAACAAGGGCTGGGACACTCAGTTTCCGCGGCGGTTGACGAATATGATTATTCCAGATCTCTCGAACTGGACAGCTCCAGAAGGGCTGCTTCAGAGTATTCAAAGGGCCAATATCACCTTCGATTTGATCCATGGCCTGGAAAATGCGGATAGTGTCTTGAACCATGTGGGCAGTCATTCAAATCCGGAAGTGTTGGAATTGTACAAGGCCGCGCTTTCTGAGACAAAGTTTTGCGGTATTGTCCGAGCAAAGGAGCCTTCTGGGGGTCTTCTCGGTACCATCATCATCTCCAGGCAGCGCAGCCCCCTGGCTACCTCGATTCCTCCACTTATGTCTCACACAGAAGACATCGGTGGAATACTTGCGCCCGTTGTCCCCATCGGACCACTCTCAACGCTGACCCTTCAAGGGCTTGCCTTGATGGGAATCCGCCAGAACAAAAGCCACAAAGCATTGAAAACAGTTTTCTCATGGGTACGTGTGCATTAGCAGAGTTCCCTTGCCTATGGAATGCTAACGTATAGTTCAAGGCTGTTGATGATGAGTACGAACCACTGCTGGCGATGGGATTCGAGATTTTACAAGCATTTGAAGAAATCACAAACTCTCCTGATAATGTAAGAATTTTCGGACCAGAAGGCAAAGAGTGTCTTGCTAATTGTGAACAGTTCGCAGATCTCGTGTAAATAGCCCGAGGCGGCAACGATTAACGGACATTTTCATGCGCATATATGAAGTTATTTTGGCCCCTTTTTTCTCCTCAAATATTTTTTTTTACCTACAGCGCCGACACTTGGATTATTTGGATAGCCAACAGTCACGGGTCTTGTAATAGTACCTAAATTGGTTTGCAGGCATCAACATCTTATCTGATCACGGTTTCACCCAATATTCTCGTTGATATCTTCATTGTGTGAGGCTAATGACTAGCGAGAACTTCGCGTGTCATGGGATTAAGAGGATTCAATGGAGACTGCCGCATCGCCCTGCAGATCCCGGCCCTCGGAGCTAATCTTGACATCACCGCTGAGAGCAGAGGTATCTTTGAGCTTCCCATCATCTCCAACTTCTAACTCGCCAATACTGGTACCATCTGACTTGACAAGCTTAGCTTTGGCGCCGGGAGTAACCTGGTAGAGCGCGATCTCAACATTCTGTCCGTAGTCATACACGGCACCGACGACTTCCCGGTTCCCTAGCACGAGAATAGTGTTCTCTCGGACATAAAGGGGCAGTGTACCAAAGCCATGTTTCTCCTTGAACCAACCCGGACCAGTGCGTACTTCATTGGTGTAAAACGATGTCCATTTCCCACGGGGTAGGTAAAACTCCACGTCTCCAGATTCTTCGAAAATAGGGGCAGCGAGGAGCTGGGATCCAATCATAAACTGACGGTCTATATACCAAGATGTTGGGTCCTCGGGGAACTCGAGAGCTATGGATCGGAGAGAGACGGGAAGACCGTCTTCTCTGGACTCAATGGCTTGGGAGTAAATGTACGGCATGAGGCGAGTCTTTAGGTTGGTCCACTTGGCCAACGTCTTTGAGCAGCCTTCCTCGGACTGATCATCATCGTCGATAGTCCATGGAACACGGTAAGAGTTGCTGCCATGGAGGCGACTATGGCTACAGAGTAGACCCATTGCCACCCAACGTTTGTAGACCCAGGGTGGAGGGTATCCTTCAAATCCTCCAATGTCACAGCTCCAGTATGAAAAGCCGCTGATTCCCAGAGACAGGCCACCTCTGATAGACTCTGCAAGGGCTTCGGGTGTGGACTCGCAATCTCCTCCCCACTGAAGAGGAAATCGTTGTGTGCCAGCACATGCAGCTCTGGCAAACAAGACAGCTTCGTCATTGCCATATCGCTTCTGGAGAGCTTCGTATACAAGTCTGTTGTATAGGAAAGCATAGTAATTGTGCATCTTGTGTGGATCGACCGATTCGTCGTACCACTGAACATCGAGTGTGGGGATACGCTCGCCAAAGTCCGTCTTGAGAGCATCAACTCCTTTATCGAAGAGTGAGTTGAGGCAGCTGACATACCACTCTCTCGCTTTGGGGTTTGTCACATCCAATAAGCCCATGCCAGCCTGCCAGAGATCCCACTGCCAGACGTCGCCATTCTTGCGCTTGAGCAAAAACCCGTTCTCTGCCGCATGTTTGAAAGCGGCTCCATGCTGAGCAATGTAGGGGTTGATCCACACACAAACCTTTTTGCAGAGTCCGCTCTCCTTGAGTCGCGAAATCTGAGCCTGGGGATCGGGAAATCTCTCCGAGTCGAACACAAAATCAGTCCAGGTGAATGCCTTCATCCAGAAACAATCATAGTGGAAGACGTCGACGGGGGAGCCTCGATCCTTCATCCCTTGCAGGAAAGAGTTCACTGTAGCTTCGTCGTAGTTAGTGGTGAAGCTGGTCGTCAGCCACAGACCGAAACTCCAGCTAGGCACCTTGCCTGGCTTACCCAGCAATATGGAGTACTTCTTCAGAACCTCTTTGGGGGTCGGACCATATATGATATACCACTTGAGTCTCTGACCCTCAACGACGGTCTGGACTCTGCAGGATCGCTCGCTACCGACTTCGAGTTCCACTCTACCGGGATTGTCTATAAAGACACCGTATCCGCGGCTACTCATCCAGAAGGAGACGTTCTTGTAGGCCTGCTCGCTGGAAGTGCCGCCATCGGCGTTCCAGAGGGTAACGGCCTGGCCAACCTTGTTCCAAGCACCAAAACGCTCGCCGAGTCCATGAACAGACTCTCCGACAGATAGGTTGGTCTGGTAGAACATGTAGTGCTGGAAGTTCCGCATGTCTCCCGTTTGCATCGGGTTGCTGGGCGCTGGTGTATACGCAAAACCGACGCTGCGGCCCCCGAGCTTGGTGAGTTGCTTGGTGCCATCACTGCTGCCAAACTGGATTTCGAATTTATGAGGGCCAGGGTGGACCGTCGCAGACAGCGATCCAGATGTCAACGATGTGCCCTTCTCATTCGTGACAATCTGAGCTTGCGGGCTGGACGGTTTGCCGTCAGGGTATATTTCATGATGGGGGCCTTTGTTCTGAGCGCCAGCCCAGTGAGTTGATTCAATCGAGATGACACCATCAAATTCAGCTTTGATGTCCTATTAATATTTTATTAGGACAATCTTTCTCTACCAACTGAGGTGAAATATGAAAAGGAATATCATACAAGGGTTATGGTGGGCTGGTTGAGAGTCCAGCCCCGGGAGAGGATCTTCTTGACAGGGCACAGAAGGCTAATGCTCTGCTGGTCTTCCGAAGGTGTGACCTGGTACACCTCTTCCGCATACTCAGTCTGGACCCCTTCGGCGGGAAGCCACATGCCATCGCGGAGGCGAACCATGGTGCAATATTGGGTGCGGCTGAATACAAGGGAGCTCTGGTTAAGTGCGAGACACACGCAAGCTTGTGTTTGAGACTTAATATCCCCAAATCTCAGTAAAATGAGGAGGGGAAAGTCTAAGAGCTCACACCTTGGCTCTACGACACTCGATGCATTGCACCCTGGTCTCCATCTACGTCAGGTCTGTTTAGCCGCCTGATGGGAGCCTGCATGACGAACGACGCGAGATTTGATAATGTAACTGCACAACTACTACCATTCGAGCGTTTCTCACGTCAGGCCTGAAACTTTGTCGCCCAGCAATTGGCAATTGGTGGGAGAGTTTACCTCCGGGGCCGGATAAATCGATGTAACAGTTGGGCATCCAGGCATAGCTACATCGTGCAGCAGCTCTGCGGGGGAGAAACACGAACCTTGACAACCCTCTCATTCGCCCGCAAATCAGCTGAATTAACCGAAACATCCGAAGGGGACGGTATTACGGGACGCTTACCCGTTTGCTGTGTGTGAGACTGACCCAAGAGCTCGCCGGTCCATTCGAACCAAGACTCTTTTTCAACCTCCGATGACCCCCTCACACTCCACCGCCGTGAAGATCCCAGTTCTCGCATCTGCAAAACAGCCCGGATAAATATAGTGAGCTTCGGTCTGGTCACCGTTTTCGCAATGCTTTCTGGGGCTCCCGAGTGCGGCCTCCTGGGATCTCTTCTCCACGCTGAACTTGGCACGCTTGCGCCTTCGAGGGAAGTGTGCAATTTCCGCTTCTGCGTCTTGAATTGGACTAAGAGTTCATATTTCACACACGACTATGGTTACCGAAGCTTCGGCTGTTGTTCCTCGTTTTTTTGCAGGGCGACCTTCCCATTGTGGGAGTAGGGGAGGGGGGGAGTATACTGTATGTCATTGCTAGACTGTAGTAGAAATAGACTCAGGCGCCCCCTTTTTCCAATCATTGGACATTGGAACTTCCATCATCCTAGGTGCTTTTCCAGTCGTTGCAATGAAAGCCTTTCTCGCCCTGGGCACGGCCTTCCTGGCCGGGTTGGCCCAAGCCACCAACTCCTCCACGCCGCTGTATAAGCACCCCAACGCCACTCTGGATGACCGAGTATCTGACCTCCTCAAGCGGATGACCATCCAGGAGAAGGTGTCCCAGCTGGTTCAGGGAGATATAAGAAACTACCTCAACCTCACTGATGGGACCCTGAATCAGACCGGACTGGAATGGAGCATGGCCACCCGCGGCCATGCGGTCTGGTCCGGCCTCTACGCGAAGCCTGAGATAATCAAGCTGGGTGCCCAGATAGCCCAGGGTTACCAGATGAATCAGACCGAGCTAGGTGAGCAGAAATCCAGACGGAATCTATTTCCTTTCCCGAAGACATTTTTTGCTGATGAATGAGAAAAATACAAAAGGCATCCCGACCTACGTCTCAGGCGAAGGTCTGCACGGGTTCCTCGCCCTGAACGCGACAATCTTCAACTCGCCCATCGGCATCGGCTGCTCGTTCAACCCGGAGCTGGTCGAGAAGATGGCGAGGGTCATCGCCGTCGAGGCGCTGGCGCTGGGCGTCAACCAGCTCTTCTCGCCGGTCGTCGACCTGGCCAGGGAGCTGCGCTTCGGTCGTGTCGAGGAGACGTTCGGGGAGGATCCGTACCTGTCAGTTCATGTCCCCTCCATTTTCAAAACTGAGAATTTTAAACGTTGACGAGAGGAAAATTGCAGGGCTGGTGAATTTGGGTACCATTACACCAAGGGTTTGCAAGCTGAGGGTGCTTGCGCCCAGGTCAAACACTTTGTAAGTTTCCGCTCGGGTGTGGGGAGTCACAAATGGTGAACTTGTTCTAAGTCGTTTGTTTCTAGGCGGCGTTTGCTTCTCCTGAGCAGGGCATCAACACTGCTCCTGTGCATGGGGGAGAGCGCGAGTTGCGGAGCTTGTATCTCCCGCCGTTCAAGCGGGCCATCATCGACGGCGAGGCTCTGTCGGTCATGTCGTCGTACAACTCGTACGACGGGTATCCCGTCATTTCGAATCCTCACATCATGACTGACATCCTGCGTGGAGAATGGGGGTATGAGAACTTTGTCATTTCAGATGCTGGCGCGACGGCCCGGCTCATCGATGCGTTCCATATCTGTGGTAAGAATGACAATGAATGTATCACGACTGAAGTAAGTGGTGTATTTTCTTCAACGACCGGGAGGTCGAAAATGGAAGGAAATTAAGGGAACTAATAGCCTATAGGTCCTCCCCGCAGGAAATGACGTGGAAATGGGCGGTGGACTCTACAGTTTCGAGATCATCCCTGAGCTGG